TGAGAGGCCCAGCCGCAGTGGGCCATCGGCAGGGCTTTAGGGCCTCTCACCTCGTGGGATTGATGGAGGGGGGTCTGCTGGCCTTGTCCTGTATGGGAGCAATAAACCATGTTCCTGATCTTGCAGAGCATGGGGCCGGTCCCAAAGGTTGAGATCTGCAGGATGTTCCCTGCCTGCTGAGGCTCCCACACTGTCGGCTGTCAGAGCACGGTGGTCTTCTCCTATGAATGTGGCTGTCGGGGCATTGTCCTTCAGGGAGGCCACGTCACTGCACCCCTTCTCAGGCCATGTGAAGTCTCTGGCCCTTTCCCACTGCTCCAACTGAATGTTTTCTTATTGTCTGCAGATCTTTGCTCAGCCATCAAATGTGGGCAGAACGAAGATGGATGTGAATAACCTGGCCATGGTGATGGCCCCCAACTGCCTGCGCTGCCAGTCTGACGACCCTCGCATTATCTTTGAGAACACACGCAAAGAAATGTCCTTTCTTCGCATGCTGATAGTGCACTTGGACACGAGCTTCATCAAAGGACTGGTTTGAGCCACTGCCAGTGGGGTCCAAAACATTGCTCTGGGGAGTCACTGGGTACCCAAAGTCTTCTCCCCTCCACTTAGGTTTCTTCCATTGTCCTTGTTGTCTTCACACCCCATGTTAGCCCCTGAGCATCGCCCAGCATATGACCTCGAGGACAAGGACTAGATGCTCCCAGAAGGCTGGGGCTGTTTAGCACCAGGAAGTCCTTGGACATGCCAGGCCAGATTCGGTGGTTCCTGGCCTTCCGGTGTGTGTTGGGGGGCAGCCCTCCTTGGAGCTGCAGGACTGGTTGCTCATTGAAAGGGCTGTGACATTCATGAGAAACTGCTACCTGGGGCAGCGAGACTGTCCATCTCCCTTCTGGAGGCAGAGTTGGCTTCAGGTAGGACGACATCACTCTTCTGTGGTGGCATGAGCTGGTCCTGGGGGAGATGCTGCCTCATTGGGGATAATCCCACTGCTATGGAGCCAGCCTGATTCACCTCTGCAGACCGTTGGTTGGAGGCCTGAGGGTTGTTCTGACACCCCACGACGCTGTTGGTAGAGGGGTTTGAAGGTGCGGGGGGTTTGCTGAGGCAGAGGGGTTCCTCAGACTGCCCTGGTCAGTGGAAGCACATTGCAGCCCAGGGAGAGGAGGTGTTTGAGCCTCTGCTGCTGGTGGCTGGATAGGCAGACATCCCACGGCTGGAAGCCCTGGCAGGCCGGATCCACACAACGTCCACCTTGCCTTCTCCTTCAGGCAGCTTCAGAGCCGCGGAGCAGCACGTGGTCAGCACGTGTGACCAGCCCTGTGCTGCGCCAAACCACCCACACCATGGGGGCTAGGGACAAGAGGAAAGCCGCACACCTGACAACAAACAGATAGACAACCCCTTTGGCATCCCCCTGATGAGAGCCATACCCTTTGGAGGGGTAACCCCAGCGGCCTTGCAGCTCCTTTCTGCTACAGGCAGCATGAGCTGATACCAGCTTTCCTGAAGAGCATCTGAGACCACGCTTGGAGCAGCCTCATGGCTCCGGCAGCCCCCATTCCTGGTACCAGGCCGTTCCCAGGCTGCTCTGCCGGGGACTGAATACCAGCATTGCCCACCCTCCTGGTTCAGCCCAGGTCTAAAGAAAGCTGGAAAGGCCCCCAACAGTAAGAAATGCTCCTGTGCTTGGATGAGCCCTTCCAGGCAGAGCAGCAGCGTTGCTTTGTGCCCGTGAAATGCTGATGCTGCCAGGAGTCCACTGTGGCACTTCTGCTCTTCCCGCCAGATTCCTGCGGGAATTGCAGAGGGGTTGGGAGGGGAGAGGAAGGGAAGAGAAGGGAAGAGGCAGGTCTGAGCGGCTGAGGTGTGGTAGAGCCTGCGTAAGGCTGGTGTCAGGCCGGCAGCTCAGTGTTCTCACTGCTGCTATTAAACCCCTGCGGCTTTCTGTGTGCCACCAGCAGTGAGGCACAGCAAGGACAGTGTCTTTCAGAGGCAGCGCATGGATTTCCCCACAGCCTCTGGATATTCTTGCATGTTCCTTAGTAAGCAGCAATTTCTAATTCTGTGGCGTCCTGGTGTTACTCTTCTCTTCCTTTGAAGTGTTTTCCCTGCTGGAGGCAGGTCTGCTGCAGAAAGCTGCGTCTCGGGATTACTCATGCTAAGTATGCTGGTAGCATCCAAGGTTGCATTTGCATTTCTGCATCCCCTCCTTTACAGTGGGGACCTGGGATCATCCTTCCCCGACTGCAATGGGGAGCCGAGCCCTGCCAGGAGTGAGGTTTAAAGCTGATGTCTGAATCTGTACCAAAAGTTGGGCATAAGGTGCCACATGCAGAGTACCAGTCTGCTGGCTGCTTGTATCTCCTGGGATGTGTGAGCGAGGTTTCCAGAGCACGTGTTTGCTCGGATGAACTCCACAGCAGTTTGGGTTTTGCCCAGCTGAACAACGGTCATGGTTCCTCTACTTGTACCAGGTGCTTTGGTGGGCCAGGAAATCTTGCTTCTGTGTCAGGATTAGCTCTGTCAAACATGTCCCCCAAAACGTGCCAGGATCTGTTTCACACACCCGTCCCATCTCCCATCCCATCCCAGTGCTTTGAAGCCATTCAGCTTGGTGTGGCCTTCTGAAGCACTGAACAACTTGTACTCCAGATGTGGGGCTACTTTCCCAGAAATGTAGAGACAGGCAGGGGGTTACTGGCTCCTCTGTGCTGTACTGAAATTTGAATCATTGGACAGGCTCGGGGTGCCACATCCCGCCCCCGTGGGCGGGAGCAGCCATGTGGTGCCTGCCCTCCTCTTCGGGCTGCAGATGCACATGCCTGTGTTGGGCTTTGCCTGTAGCCAGCCACCACATAGGTGATCCATGTTATTCCTTGCACTTAGCTGTAGCAGTCAATCAAACCGTAGGCATTTGCTGCTATTACAAATGAATGCTTCTTGCCAGGGCTGTAAAATAGGCTAATAAATGACACTGGATATTATTTTCTTTGCCAACAGATTTGTAAATATGAATCAGTAATGCAGCCTCTCCTCTGTTATAATAATAAATGCAATCTCCATGGTTGTCTCGTCTTTTTTGCGAATTTCTGAAGTGTGATCGTGTCCGCCTGGAGCTGCGGATTTCACCCTGGATGTCAGCATTCATGAATAAAGTTTGGGAATCAGCAGGATGTAAGCACTTCGAAACCAAGCTTGGGCTGGTTCTGTTGGTCTTAACTCTCAGGCAGCTACTAAGGGACACTCAATGAAACCTGGAAGAGAGCAGCTTGAAACAGATAAAGGACAATACTTCTTCACATAGGATCTTCTGGAGCCTTCCAGCGTCAGAAGGGATTAGAGAAGTTAGTGGGCAATAGCTCCGCAAACAGGCAGGCAGAGGGTTGGAGGGACATCCTGGTGAATATGGAGCAGTCTGCGCTGGTGCTCCAGACTCATGCTGGCTGCCTGCTGCGGTGGGGCTGCAGCACCTGCCAGCTGTGCTCCTTCAGCTCCACGGTGCTGAGCTCCTGCCCCGGGTCTGGCTGGTGCTGCTGAAGCTCTAGAGGTGGTCACCATCCTGGCAGCGCTGGGAAAAGATGGTGCACTTCAGGCCAAGCCAGTAAGGGCTGCTCCGTCACTCCAGCAGTTTAAGATCACCTGTACTGGCCAAATCAGTGGCTCTTCACGCCAACCTCGCTGGCAGGAGGGCAGTAGGTGGCCCGTAGCCTTCAGGAGAGGGGTGATGACAAGTGAGCGCAGAAAGAAGACCAATAGCATCATAACCTCACGCAGCCCTTTCCTGGGTGGATGCCTGGAGCCTGACGTCTATTCCCCAAGGCTTTGCTGTGAAATGAGCTGATTTTGGCCAAATCAAAAAAGTCCACAAACCCAGTGCTTCAGCTGAGGCTCAGAGAGTTGGGCTCTCTCCTGCAGTCACCTTGGCCTGATACCTGGATCACTTGAAAAATCAATGGCCAGAGAAGCATCTGGGCTCATAACAAGCTTGTGGGTTGTTCCCAGCTTCCACCAGCAGCGAGTGAGACCCTGTGCCAGAGGGCGGCCTGGCACACTGCTCACTTGTCTCTGGCTCCTTGTAGAGAGGGGGCACCTGCAGCTTGTCCAAGGCTGGCACTGGTGGTGGAAGGGTAACATGTCCCGATGGGGGCAGCACCCTTGTGGTGCTGGGTGCTCTTCTGGTGCTGTTGAATTTCTGGCTGGTTTAAGTCTCCTTTTCACAGAGCCTGAGTGAACCTTTTGCTGTCTCTGTGATAATGTCCTGGGAACTCGCAAACAAAACTGGAAAAGGCAATTCTCCCAGGTACTGATCCAGCTGAGAGATGCTGTGCCCTCTGGTCTGCTGTCCATGCTCTACCGCAGCTCCTAAAGAGGTTGGGCAGCTGTTGGGGATCACGGGTGGATTTGGACCTCTCTGTAGGTTCAGCTTGAGATGGAGGAAGGTGGGGCTGAGCTCTGGCAACTGCCTGGTGTTTTACAGGTCATGGTAACCACGAGGCCACCTCTTCTGCTTGCCCACCACCCCTCCTGGTGGAGAAGCTTTGTGCAGTCTCCTTCCCTTGCAAATGTGAGGGGCCTCCCTCCTGGCCCACCAGAGATAGTCCATTTCTCCCTCAAACCAGAGGTGCCCAGAGGTTTTGCCACCTCCCCAAAAATCCAGGGCAGTGGGAGGCCAGTTTTTAGCCTAATCCTCATGTCAAGCTTTGCAGTAAATCAGCCCTGTAGGAAGACAGAGACCAGAGGAACAGGCAAGCCTGCACGGGGAGCCCTGAGGCACTGAAGGGAGGTAGAGATGGGAGGGTCCCCCTCCTGACGCTGCCCCAGCACGGGTTTGATGTGGGCGCAGCAAAGTGCCTTTTTAGTGGGGGACGGCACTGAGCTGGGGCTCTGCAGAGCGGGGCTTGGCCTCCGGCACACCCACAGACTGCCTGTGGGACAACCATCAGTGACAAGATGGAGAAAGCTGATGCAGCTGCTGAGCGTGGCTGCTCTTGGAGCTCCTGCTGTCCTACAGCCTTTGTCAACCACAGTTAATGGTGGAGGGAACTGGGTGTGGGTGCAGGCAGCTGGGGAACCAGCTCAGGCATGGAAAAAAAGCCCAGACATCCAGAGTGAGGTGGATCACACACAGACCCCCACCGGAGCTGAGTGCTTCCAGGTGGCCGTGCAGGAAAATTTTTGGGACACGTTGCACCACTTGCCAGCTGGACTTTTCCTTTCAAAGCAGGGGGCACCAGCTCCAGACTCTGCCTGGATCTGAATCCAGGGGCTCTTCCTGCCCTAGCCTCCACCTGGAGCCTCCTCATCTCACCACCAAAGCCATCCCACTTCGTCTGAACTGCTTAGTGTTTACTGGTATGGTAACGGGGGCTTGCGTCCAAGGACTTGAGGACTGCGTGACCTCGGCTGTCAGGGTTGGGTGCTGGCGGGATTCAGGGCTCAAATCCATGAAGGTACTCAGAAGCCCAAGACCAAGGCTGGTCTTACAAGCTGCTACTTCACCCAAAGGAGAACTAGCAGCTTACATCAGCTCGTTTC